TACCACCCCGATCTGCCATCGCATACACACTCTTACTTTCTCCACCACACCCCCTACCCCCCCTCCCCCTCCCCTCCCTCCTCTCTCTCTCTCTCTCTCTCTCTCGCCATCGTCACGTCGGCCACCAAACTCGTCGAGCCAAATGCGATGATCACAGCGGCGATCGCGCGCTGCACCAACCACCTCACCCGCCCCCCTCCCCCCCCCCCCTCTCCCCCCCCTACCGACCGCAATAGCCATGCTCGGGGCGGCGCCACCTACGTTAGTTGCCAAGGCAACCGCCAAGGCACGCCAACAGAGACCTCCGCGGCACCCCACACATCGAGCATACGGTGGTGGTGGCGGTGGTGGTCGTGACGGTGGTCATGGTCGTGGTCATGGTCATGGTCATGGTGAACGTGCAACGACGATGAGCCAAGTCGGACAGTCTGGTGCTGGTGGAGGTTCTGGGCGAGAAGAGGGCATGGTCCAAAGGCAATCAAGTTTTGGCGGAAGAAGAGGTGCTGGGCCTGCTAATAATGGCCGCAGTTGGGCGACTCCAAGCGATCATGGTCATGGTCAGCTTGCTGGTGGTCCTCTCCTCGATTCGGGTGCGGCAGCACCAGGCGGTTCCCGCAGGCTTCAACGCGGCGGTGGTGTCACAACCTCGTCTGCAACTTCGAGTGCACAGCTGAGCTCAGGCCCTGGCTCGCCGACCGGCTCGCGATCGCCAGACTACCTCCCTGTCCAACCACAGGCTTCGCTTCTCTCCATCGGCACAACTGCAACAACATCGTCAGAGCTCGAGGCTACATGGACGACGTCAGCCACCGGGCTGATGTCGGTTGGTGGCGAGACGACGTCGCATGGCGAGTCGTGGTACGGAGCCGAGCTGCCGGAAGGCGTGAGGATCATTGGGACTGGCGGTGACGGCAGCGTGGTTCCTCTCGATGGAGGCGCCCCGGGGCTCAGCGCCAAGTCGACGTCGTGCATGGCGGCGCTGAGGCAGTGGCTCATTGCCGAGCCGTACCCGGACGTTGTCTCCAAGTCGCGGCAGATCGACCTGCGCCATCGAGCGTGGATGCTACTCATGCTCTCACTCGTCTGCTGTATCTTCCAGGTCTCGCACATCACCTACGACGCCATTGCTAACCTCCGCCGGCTCCCGGCCTCACACCACATGGTCAACCTGCTCTTCTTTGGCCTCCTCCTCATCCCCATCTGGCTTGCCCGGACCGACCGGCTCGTTGCGGGCTCCATCTGGTTTGTCTTTGTCATCACCGCTCTCTTTGCCCATCGAGTCTTCACCGAGCGCCCGCACCTTGACTATCTCATCATCCCGCTCTTTGTGGCCCACATCATTTTCTCGCCGCGGCTGGCCCACCTCGCATATCCGCTCCTCGTCGTCACCACCGCCGTCACCGGCTACATGGCATACTCACACGTTGACCTGCACTGGCTTGACGTCGGCTCGACCGTCCTCCTCTCAGGCATCGTTGCCTGCTGTCTCGCCGGCGCCTCGACGCTCCTCCAGCGCAAGCTCGAGGTCATGCGAACGGCCGAGATGCGATACATGACCCTACTTAATGGCGGCTACGAGGGCGTCGTCCTCCTCGGCGGCTACACTATTCTCGACGGCAACCGCTCCATGCAGGAAATGTTCCACATGCGCATGTCTGCTCTCAAAGGCACCTCCGTCCTCGACCTCATTGTGGAGACCGACCGCATCAAGCTTGCGAAGCTCATCGAGTCGTGCCCACTGCAGCACGCACTGCTGCGGACCGATACTCAGCCCGACGGGCCGGCCGGTATGTTTGCCATCGAAGTCTCAGTCATCTTCCACCCGGCGACCTCGCACACTGTCTGCGCCTTTCGCACCATCGAGCACTTTGCTCGCCTCGAAGCCGTCCTCGTCGCCGCCAAGGAAAACGACATGCAGGCCCAGTACCAGCAGGCTCAGTCGTCCATCGCCTCGGCCGAGCACAAGTCACGCATGTACTCGTCGCTCGCCCATCAGGCCACGGTCCCGCTCCAGACGGTTGTCTCGGCCGTCAAGCTCCTCGACGAGCACTCGCTCGGCGAGGGCGCCCGCCAGTGCGCCCGCCTCGCCACCGATGCTGCCGACCACCTCAGCTCTATCATGTCCTCCTTCCAGTCCATTGACAACGTGTACTCGGACGACATGGACCTCGACTCGCGCATCTTTGACCTCACCACCGTCCTCTCGCAGGTTCTCTCGCAGGTCCGCTCCGTCGTCGCCGCCAAGGCCGTCGACCTCGACGGCTACATCTCGCCAGACGTTCCACTCTTTGCCCGTGGCGACCCGGCTCGCCTCGAGCTCACCCTCACCACCGTCATCGAGGCCACTGTCCGCCTCTCCGAGACCTCGGGCTCGGTCATGGTCTCAGCCAAGGTGTCATCCGAGGACGAAGCCCGCCAGCTCGGCGCCACTGCGCTTGTCCCGCTCGAGAATGAGGCTTCGTTCCCGCCAGGCACTTTTGACTCGGCCTCTTACTACCGCATCGACGTCACCGACTCGTCGCCCGGCATGGCGCTCAAGGACATGTCCATGCTCTTCCAGCCGTTCCAGCACGGCGCCTCGAACATTGCCATTGAGACTATCGGCCTCTACGTCGCCCGCCAGCTCCTACGCAAGATGGGCGGCCAAATTGTCCCGCACTCGGTCGAGGGTCATGGCTCCACCTTTGTCATGATTGTCCCGCTCTTCCCAGTCTCCGGCTCGCTCGTCCCGGTCTCAGCTACTGTCCGCCCACCCAAGTGGATGAACCTCGCCGTTCCGACGGGCATCGTTGTCCTCTTTGCCAACGACGACCTCCGCAGAACCATGGGGTCAATTATGGCCGACTTTGGCCTCAGCGTCTACTACCACGCCGTCCCCTGGCGTGCCGTTGATGTCTTTGCCAACGACGAGGTCCCGTTCCTCGTCGTCGAACGCTCCATGCTCGAGGAGATTGTTGCCGCTCTTGACGAAGTCGGTCCGCTCATGCCGTCGGTCGTATACGTTGTCTCGCCGCCGGTCGAGGAGCTGACTGACCCGCCTGACGTCCGCCACCCAGGCGTCTCCTTTGTCTTTGTCCCTCGCCCGCTGGATCTCGCCGAGATGCGTGCCGCCCTTGTCAAGTCGTACGCCTCCATCTTCACCCACCGCCGGACCGCAAGGTACCTCTCGCTCACAACGTCGACGCTCATGGCGCTTCCGGGCGACGTCGTCGGCACGCCGTCGGAACTCGGCGCCACGTCGTCGCAGCCCATCCAGATCCGCAAGCGTGTCCCAGCCTGTGTCATTGGCCTTGTTGGCCTCCCGGGGCATGTTGTCGAGAACCTCAAAGACAGGCTGTACGCCTTTCGAGTCGGCGCCGTTCACGTCTACCCCTCGTTCGCCGAGCTCCGCAGCGCCCGCAAGGCCGTCGCCCTCCACCACATTGTCTTCTACGACTCGTCGCTCGATCTGCCAATCGGCTACCAGGTCGCCTGGTTCCCAGTTGCCATCGGCCGCAAGCCAGTCCTCTCGGGTGTATTTACTTTTGCCTCCACCCCATCCGAGGCCGAGTGCTCGCGCCTCCTCTCGCGGTTCACCGTCATGCACGCCTCGAAGCTCGCCGACCGCGTCCTCATTGTCGCGTCGTCGCCCAACATGCCGTATCTTGGCAGCCTCCGTGCCGCAGGCTACGACTGCACCATTGTTTTTCATGCGAAGAGGCGCTGCGCGTGTGGGAGGCGTGGAGCGGCGGCTTTGGCGCCATCGTCGCAGAGCTGAACGTGCGCGGCGTCTCAGTGGTGAGTCTCGCCGAAACCATCCGGTCGTGGGAGGCCCAAGTCGGGTACGGCATCACGCCAATCATCGCCCTCTCGCCGCCGTGCCACACCTCGGGTGCTGCCCGTTTCAAGCTCGCTGGCGTCACCGACATGCTCAAGCTCCGCAAGGCTCACTCGACTCTCGTGCCGTGCCTGCAGGGCCGCATCCAGCGGTCAGAGACCCACCTGCTCCACAAGTCCGCCGAGAAGCGCTACAAGTCCCTCAAGGACCAGTTCACCTCGTACCTCCTTCGTCAAGACTCCATCTCACGCATGCCGTCACCGGCAAGCAAGTTCTCGTCCTCCTTCCGCTCCTTTGATCTCATCCCGGCCACCCCGTCGGCGGGCTCTCTCCACTCGCGCAACTCGTCGGCCGGCTCGGGTGGGCTGAGCCTGCCGCGCCCGCCGAGCATTAGCCTGCTCGAGGACGATCCGCCGCTGGCCCGCACCGGCTCGAGCTCTTCGTCCGATCCGCGACCGGGCTTTGTCCACCACGCCAGACTTCGTCGTCGTCGTCCTCGGCCAGAGCGACTTCGTCATCGTCATCGTCGTCGCTCGCGGCTTCGTCCTCGCGGCTCTGTGCCTCGTCGTCGGTTGCCTCCCGCGATAACGACGGTGAGAGCGGCGGGTGGGAAGAGGTTCCTATCGTCGCCATTCCGTTGCCGACTACCAACGCGCCGCGCCGGCTCTCGCAGATGATGCTCTCCAGCTCAGATCCGCCGTCGCCTCACGACGCGGCTGCCCTGCTGGCGTCGTCGTCGTCCGGGGCGTCGTCGACGTTGTCTCATGAAGAGATCACAGTTTAATAGCCCTTAGCGGTTCAGTCGTTCGGACGCGTTGTCGCGCCTCTCAAAGTGAAACTCGATGATGCTTGACTTCCAAGTCACCGGCCGACGCTGCGCGACGCCTGCTTAGCCTGCGGCTTTGAGATAGGAGGCGCGCCCGATGCGTGGCTTGCACGTGGGTCCTGCCGCCCGCCGCTTGTTCTGGCGACGCCCTTGTGTGCAACGTGGGCGACGATCTGGCTGTTCTCGCGCGATGGACAAATCTGTCCATTCCGTACCGTTAAACTAAAAGGGTGGCGTAGCTACTACATGTCGTCGTAGGTGCGGGTCATCAGCGAGCGGAGGCTCGACTGTGCGCTGACAAGCGTGTTGAACCGCTCGATGTAGAGCTCGACGCGCTTAAACGTCCGCTTGAGGCGGCGCTCCTGACGGGCGGTCGGCGCGAGGCTGAGGGCGATGGCCGCCTTGGCCTCAACCGCGTCGCGCTGGGCAATGTGGGTCTCGAGCGCGGCAGCCTTTGAGCGCCAGGCAGAGAGCTGGGCGCGGAGATCGTGGACGCGCTGCACAAGCTGGGCGTCGACGTTGTTGTCAGCGAGCGCCGCAAGGCGCGCGTCGTAATGGGCCTTGAGCTGAGCCACAGAGTCCGAGGTGCTCGCCAGTGTCGCCGAGTGTGCCACGTGCGCCTTCTCCAGCGCCGCAATCTCAGCATCGAGGACCGACCGGTCTGCGTCGACGCTCCGCTTCTCGGCATTGAGCTTGGAGACAAAGGTAACAAGCTGAGTCTTGAGCTCGCGTGAAAGTGCGTGGAGCTCAGTCTTGAGACTCCCCGGCGACGCCGAAGCCGCACCGGGAATGCCCAGCTGCGCCGCCGCCGCCGCGACGGCTGCGCGGTCGGCCGCAGAGGCCAGAGGCGCATCGGCTGCGTTGCGCGCAGCAGCCACTGCATCCGACAGCTTCTTTGTCTCAAGGATCTTGGCCGTCAGCTGGGCCTCGACATCAGCCAGCGTGGCGTGCATCTCCTTGTACTGCTGCACGTACCGGATCTTGAGCAGCTCGTCGACGTCGGCCCGAGCCTCGGCGGCCACGTGATCGACCGAGAGGTCTGCCATGGAAAGGGCGTCGGCGGGCAGCTCGGGCGCTGGAGACGGCGCGCGGGCGGCCACCGGGGCCGGGGCGACCACTGGGGCTGGGGCAGCCACCGAGGCCAGAGTCGGAGCCGGGTCGACTGTCAACAGATCGGCTTCGCCCAGGCTAGCAACTGTCGACGACGAGGCGTAAACGTTGTCAGAGAGTGGCGAGGGCGAGGGCGAAAAGTGCATGACCTTGTTGACTGGCGAGTCGTGGCCTCGGATCGACCCGGCGAGCGAGCCCTTAAGTGAAGCACGGAGCGACGAGTCAGGTGCGGCTGCTGACAAGCTTGGCGCAGCGGGCGACCGGATGGCTGGGGAGCGCGGCAGCGTCCGTGATGGCTGGAAGGCCTCGGCAGGCGGCGGCGACCGCGGCAGCGTTCGCGACGGCTTGAACACCTCCGTCGGATCCGGAGCTGCAACCGTGGCCGCGACCGCAGGCGGCGATGCCGGAAGAGTGCGAGTGGGCTTGAACGGGTCGACGGAAGGATCGATGTCAAAGTCGACGAGAGCAGGGGCCGGAGCCGGAGCTGGGGCCGGGGCTGGGGCTGGTGCTGGGGCCGCGGCCGGGGCCGGGGCTGGTGACGACGGGAGGTTGCGCCTTGGCTTGAATGGATCGATGGAGAGATCAAGGTCAAAGTCGGTGGCCGCCGGGACTGGGGCCTGGGCCAGAGTCAATGCGGGTGCGGGTGCAGGTGCAGGTGCGAGCATAGAAACGTGTGCTGACGTTGAGGTTGAGCTCGGAGCCGGGGCAGGGGCAGGGGCAGGGGCAGGGGCAGGGGCAGGGGCAGGGGCGGGCGCGGGCGGAGAATCGAGGGCGTGGCCAGATGCGCGGAGCGAGGCCGCGAATGACTTGGAGAGCTCGATGGGCTCAGGCTCCCAGTCGAGGCTCGGCTGCTGAGTGGTATCGCGGAGCGGCTTGCGGGCCGAGCTGCGCTTGGCCGGAGTGCGGGCGAGGGCACGGTGCGGCTTGAAGCCCGAGTCGGGCCCGTCTTCGGCGTAGTTGTACTTGGCTGCGTTCTCCTTGCCGTACGGGGTGGAGGCGGACGAGTTGTCGCGGGCGAGCGAGTTGACGCCGAGCGACTTGCGGCGGATGCGAGAAGCACCCGAAGCGAGCATCGACTTGCGGCGGGCGACCTTGGCCCTGGTAGCGCCTGTGGCCATGCCGGCCGAGGCACCCCCGAGCGAGCGGCGGCCATGACGCGAGTGAGAACGAGAGCGCGAGCGCGAGCGCGAGCGCGAGCGATCACGATCGCCGTCGCCGTCGCCTCCAAAGGAGATGCGACGCGAGGCGTTGAACGAGTCACGACGGGCGGTGGAGGCATTGAGCGACTCGCGGCGCGATGCGTCGAGTCGGGAGATGGAGAGACGGGCTTCCCTGGCGCGAGCCTTGTTTGCCTGCTTTGAGATGTAGCCACCACCACGATGAGACTCAACCTTGTCAAGGAGAGTGTTGACCATGTCGACGACCTTGTGCATGTCAAGCGGCTTTGTAGGGGCGGGGATGTGCTTTGAAAAATGGCCCAACTCCAAAAAGACAAATACCGGCGAATGTTCCGAGCATTATCCTTCGCCGCAGCACTCACGGCATCCCACGCCCACGAGTCCTCGTAGTGGGCCACGACTGTGCCGACCATCTTGAGCACTTCTTGCTTTGCCTCGGATGCCGTCAATGACGTCACATCATCCCACAGCAATGGTCCATCATATCCAAGTGCTTGCACCTTGGGCAGCACGCTCTGCATCTCAAACACACTATCTATATCTCAAGCAACTCCTTGTCGCGGAGGATGTATGTATGTATGGATGGATGGATGTATGTATGTATGTATGGATGGATGTATAGGGATGGGTATGTGTGGGTGGGATGGATCGATGTAGTGGAGAGGTGTGCTGGGCTCTGCACTCCCGTCGTCGTTGGCTGCGCTGAGGCGTTGGCATGACTTGGCGCGCGAAGGAGGGCAAAAATTTGAAATTTTGGTGTCAGGCGGCGAACGGTCGGGCGGGCGGACATGGCTTTCATCCGTGGCGGCGGCGCGGGACTACGTCAGATGGGAAGGGGGGGGAGGAGGGGAGAGGGGGGGAGAGGGGGGTTGTGTGATTGTGGTTGACTAGAGACGGGGGGGGGGAGCACGCATCAGGACAACAGACGCGAGACAGACTGCTGCTTCGTCTCGTTGATGGGGGGCAGCTCGGCGCCCATCGAGTACGACTTGTGGAAGGGCTGGTTGGGAGTGGGAGTGAGCTTGCCGCGGATGGGCGCGTCGGCGGAGGAGGCAGCGAGAGTGGCTCGGCCGGAGGCGATGTTGGAGGCCGATGCTGCGGTGCCGCGGCTGGACGACGGCATCTTGCGGGCGGCAGAGCGGAGCTGCTGCTCAGCAGATCGCTTGAGCTCGCGACGGGTGAGCGGGACGACGGCAGAGGCGGAGGCGGCGCGGCCGCCAAGGTCGGAGCGCGAGATAGCAAAGTCACGCCGCGACGAGTTGAACTCGTTGAGCGAGTCGTCCGAGTCAATCAGCTGCAGCGAGTCGTCCAACACGGTGCTGTCGATGCCACGCGGCGAGGTGGTCATGAGCGCTTCGTACTGGGCGTCGAACGAGTGGCGACTAGAGAGGCGCGAGGGAGAGCCAAGACGTGGCGATAAGGTGTTGCCCATGACCATGGAACCCATGAGCGAGTTGGAATACCCGCCCTGAGCCTGGATAACGGCCTGCTGCTGGGCGCGGGCAACGGCCGGGTGGTGGATGAGGTCGAGGAGGCGCTCCTCGACGAGTCCGAGGTAGGTCATGACGTTGGACTCGGCGATGCCCTGCTTGTACAGGTACTCGTCACCCTTGCCGATGGCGCCGGACTTTGCGCACAGCTCCGAGATGCCCTGCATGACCTGGTTGAACAGCTTCTTGAGCGCCATGTGGTCATGGAGGAGCTTCTCGCGGACAACCTCGGCCTGGTACAGCTTTGTCTCGAGCACCTTTGTCCGCTTGTGATCCGACTTGCCGAGGTAGTCTGCCGTTTGAATAGTGTTGAGCTGCTCGCGAAGAGCCTCGTTGGTCTGCTCGATCTCGGACTTGCGGGCGTGGAGCTCGTTGATGGCGTTGAGAAAGTGGTCCTGCGTCTCCTCAGCGGCGACAAACTTGGCGACAGCCTCGTCGAGGTCGTCGACGCACATGATGGTCTTGATGCGCTCGAGAGCACGATCAATGGTGTTCATGTGCGAGACGTCCTTCACGCCCTGCTTCCACTTGTGCAGCTCGAGCTGCTCCTTGACGGTCCCCTTGCCAACGCCGGACTGAGCGCCAGCCGCACGCGGCCCACCCGGCCCAGCGCCATCGACCTGCTCAGCGACGCGCATGTTGCGGTTGTAGATGTGCTCGCGCATCTTTTGATCCTTCTCGATGTACTCGCGGAGCATGGCGACCTCTGCCACCCACGACTGCTTCTCTGTGGCATACTGCTCCATCAACAGCCTGATGTCAGCATCACGAGCCTCGTTTGCAGCGAGAGCCGTCATAGCCTGTGCCTCGAGATGGCCGACCTTGTTCTTCAGGTTCTTCAAAGCCGTCTCTCTCTTCTCTGCCACTTCCTTAAGCGCCGAGTGATCCTTCTGCAGCACATCGAGTATGTTCTTGAGCGCATCACGTTCCTCTAACAGCTTATCAACTCTCCTTGTCAATCGACCAACATTTCGTTCAGCTTCCATTGCCCGCTTGGAGGTAAAGACGCCCTTGTCCAGGCGATTCTTGGCCTCACTACGGACCTTGGCCAGCATGCCACGGAACTCCTCCACCTTTTCCTCACTCTCTCGTCGACCAGCAACTGCCAAGTCGTACTTTCGTCGCATCTTGGACAGCGCATCCTCAAGACGGAGCACCTGAAGGTCGGCTGTCACTCGGGACATGGTGTGTGTTTGGGGGGGGGGGGGGGGGGGGGAGGGGGAAGGGTAAAAGGTTGAAGCCCCCCCCCTTTTTATTGGCAACCCAACCTTTTGGGCAAACAAAAAAAAAAACGGGAATAAAAATGATAAGAACTAAAATTGGATGATAGAACACGTTCGAGGCCCCACCAGGGGAATTACACGCCCAAAAAAT